AATGAAATATGCCCTGGAACTGGCATACATCGATTATAAATACACCGAGCGGTGAGCGGTGGCGCAAATTCGCACCCTTATTTTGGGGTTGTGAGGTTTATTCGTGTAATTTCTTGTTAGCGGTAACGTTTAGTATATGTAAAATCAGTACAGTATATGTGGATATAGAGGGGAGGCAAGGGGGTAGCTGGTACGGTTTTACGGGAAATAAAAAGGGCTTTTTACAATTTACAAGGAAAAAAAGACGTTTTTACAGTTTACAGTGTTAAAAAAAGGAACATTGAATGGTCCGAAGAGCTCTCCGGCTCAAATTCTCCGCCATTGCTGCGCCGTGTGTAGAGATGCACGAGCATATTACCCTCGTAATGCTCTTCATTCGGTTAGAGGGCCTTTTACGTCTTGACATTCAATTTTGTAGTGAATTGTGTCATCTAGTCGTTTTACAGTTTCTATAATGTAATTTCCCTGGATTATTCTTTACGATTTTTTTATTTGGATGTAAATTCTTGTACGTACCGAGAAAAATGACACATTTTTACAGTGTACGAAAAAAATATTTGATCGATTACGTTGTACGTCTAGCCTGTGATTACAGAATTACAGAATTTATTTTTTCAATTTACGTAGTACGAACAAAAAAATATTGCAATTACGTTGAACGAAAATAACCCTTGCCCCCTCGATATAGTGTTAAACACCCATAGACTGGCCTTAATATTTGAAAAACAGCACAGAACTTTGTCGACAGTCCATTCCCGGTCTGTCGCAAACCCCGTTGAGAAACATGTGATGTACGAAAGCTGTTTCCATCCCTGCCAGTCATTATAACAACTTCAATACTTGTCCCCGAAATATTGTGTCACGCGGTTGCGTACTAACAACAAAGCCTGGCGTGACGTTTGACCAAGCGTAGCGGTGAAGTGGCGGGCGCAGTATGCAGCTATTGGTTTCTGGTATTGATGTAAACATCAACTGTTGAAATTCAAATAATGTTATATAAACACCTACCATAAAATCGGCAGTGATGCCAGTCATATGGGCAGCAAAATCCGATATTATAACAAACCACAATTACAGACAAGATGGACGCATTTACGGCAAGTGCGCGTCGACGTTTCACTGCTACCACCCCTCTCACAACGAACTCCAAACAAACAAAATAGTCCAATGCAAATGACCTACGTCGTTGAAAATCGAGTTTAAACGTCCTTACATCATTCCGATCAAAAAACGGCGAGGCCAAAAACGAACGATTTTCGCCCATTTTTTTATAAATTTTTGATAATATTAATTCGGTCCAGCGGATAGATAGGCTGGATGCAAATCTGTATTTAACTGAGTATATTATTTAATACGAACGGAAAATTTTGATATTTCTTTTACTTTACAAGTAGTGTTCACGCTACACGAACTACGGGCTAACATTTAAGCTTATCTTGTATGTTTGCATATCGGACAGACCGAATTACGTCCACGCACGGAAAGGAACATTGCTTAGCACAGGCCATGGTTACTAAAACCGTGCACAGGCTAAGGAACGCCCAAACTTATTAATAATATACAAAATCGTCAGTCATTTTAACTATGATTGCTCAGTATATTAGATAGGAAGGTATACATGTTAGTTCTACGGTTATAAAACAATACCAATATTGCAGAATAACAGGAAGTAGCACAGACTCTCATCGTCAGTTTATTTTTTCTCAAGATCGCGTTGATTGTCATGTCGGTATGATAGTAAATCGCCCAATTGAACATTGAATACAATGGCGTTTTTGGTGCGTAGCTAGAGCTAAGCGTTCACGCACACTTCGTTAGGAACGCTACTACAGTCTCGGGAGTGATACACGGCCCAACAAACAAACAAACAGAAACTCAATTCTCAGTAGTGCTCGTTCTCAAAATGTATGTTTACATGTGCGCCTACTATTAGTTTTTAAGTGTAGCATTGTCAACAAACGTACACATTAAAACAAAAAATCACAGAACAAATTTATATATGTGCATAATTAATTATGTTCAAACAACATTTTAACTAAAACAGAGATATGATCTTAAGTGTATGACCCAGTGGACCATAATTAACGAAGTCAATAAGAATTTCAACTCAAAGGAACTCTAAGATCGCAGACATCGGGTTCTTATTCCCAGAAAACTCCCATAGATTATATATGTCCATAATTAACGAAGTCAATAAGTATTTCAACTCAAGGAGATTCTATGATCGCAGACATCGGTTTCTTATACCCAGAAAAATCCCATAGATTATATATGTCCATAATTAACAAAGTGAATAAGTATTTCAACTCAAGGGGATTCTATGATCGCAGACATCGGGTTTTTGTGCCCAGCAAACTCCTATAGATTATATATGTGCATAATTAACGAATTCAATAAGTATTTCAACTCAAGGGGACTCTATGATCGCAGACATC